AAGGAGAAGTGCTCACTAACACAGATTTAGACAGATTTGTGAACAATATTTGAGAGAAATAGGCCTTTTGTGTACAAAAAGTCTTAGATCTTTGAGTTCAGCTCATGAAAAATGGGGGCAAAAACAAAAGTGTTGCGTTTATATTTTGTTCAGTGTAGAATAGGAGCTCAAAAGACGACATTGAAAATCTTTTTTCAGCAGGATATAAACAATGTTTTAGGAGTTATTGTATTAAAACAGCACAAAGTTGATTTGAAAAGTGTGAAAATTCTTTATTATATTCTAACATAAATATTTTATTTACTATTTCTAAGTCAGTGATTAAACAAGCAAATATGTGACATTTATTTTGTTAACTCATATAAACTTATATAGTATAAACTTATATATTAAGTCAAATGTTCCTGCTTATGTTGATGCACACGAGACGCTCTTAAAATCATGCTTAAAATCAAGAGAGAAAAACTTTAAATGTTAACATTACCATTAAATATAGACCTTTAATGAATCTAATTTTTAAAATGTGGGAACAGTAGTAATGTGGGTAATATTTTTTTCTGTGCAGTGTTGGGGTGTCATGTGATGGATCCTCAGATTTCAGCATGGTTGTTAGATCCTGCCAATTCTGCATCCTGCTTCCAGACCCTGCTTTGCAAGCACTACTCGCATTCAGTTACGTCCACATCACTGCAACCTGTGCTTGGGCAAGCCAAGGTCAGATATACACACTTGATTCAACAAATGGTGTTCAGAAAAGACCGCAGCGGTGTGTCTGAATTTCGACTTTGAAATTACACTTTTACAGTGCCATTGTGCCTCTCTTTACTGCTTATCAGGTGACTCAAGTGATCTCAAACTTGTCTCTCTTATACAATCTAATGGTGGAACTGCATAACAAGCTTCAGGTAATTTAAAATTAATCTTTTCTAAATAAAGCATTATGTACAATGTTTCTCAGTTTTCTCTCAAGCTCTCAATTTTCTGTTTCTTTGTCTATAGACTCAGGGGCTGTGGCAGCTCTATTCTGGCATAGAACAAAAGATGATTCCAATTCTGGCAGGTCTGAGCAAACAGATTCTAGAGATAAAAAGTGAATGATTTAACTCAGAATGTCATTGCATTTCCTGATCTATTAATTTCATGGTATAATCATAAGTTTATTTCAATTTTTACTTGAAACAGTTCTAAAAAAACAGTTCTTTGTCTAATTCTTTAGTCACTTAATCGATTGAATAAACCTTTAGTACAGCACATTCATTCTTTATATCTTTAAATTTACTTTCACAGTCTGAAATGAAATGCTGTTTAAGAAGGGAGTTATATATCACTGTCTAATGAATTAGATTTAGTTTTGCATTTACAATAAAGCCAATAATTTTGACTTGCTGCATTAACATTGTTCCCTCTCTCTCTCAGTTATGGAAAGCTATAAAATGCATGTGGACAAGGAGGCCATGAAAAATACTTCAGAGTTGCTAGGGGTAAGAGTGTGTATGATTCTATTATGATTCTATAAACAGCCATAAACCATGATTTTCTCAGGTCTGTCTTCCCTTAGGAAGAATTGAGGGTATATTGTGTGTAGTTAATATTAATGACTAGATCTACCACTGCTGGCATCTGCTTTCTCAAAAAGAACATTACCATCTCTTTTCATATCTCTTGCCTTCTCCCTCACGAATGCACATATATATTGTTTTCTCGAGTGCTTTGTGTATATTTATTTCATAAACTCCTGCACTCTTCACATTTCCTCCTCTTCTGTCATTCTTCTGCTTTGTACATCCCTCTCATCCTCCCTCAGTTCTCTCAGAAGAAGGGAATTGATTAATTAAACACTTCAGGATTATTCTCTGTGGGGTGTTACTGTACCTTCTGTATTTGAAAGTGTCCAAATGAGCAGCAGCACCCTTATAGCAAGGTTCTCTCTTGCACTCTCTCTCTTTCTCAGTCTAAGCTGAAGCAGTTAGAGCAGGAGGCTCACCAGGCTGCAGGTCAGAAGTTCTTGGTGTCCAGCAGTGCACAGCTCAGACTGGTCAGTGTTTTTAAAAAGGCGTTTGAAACTTTGCTAGTTATCTGCCTTGACGTCATTTCTGAGCATAATCATAGATGCCCTGTGATGCCCATTAGTGCTTGTAAATGTTGTCTAATAGGTAGGTTTTGTTGTCACTTATCTGTTGATAGTTACTGTAATGTAATTAGAAATATGTATTACAAACCTCCTCTTTTCAGATCCTATTCGAGAAGCTGCGTTTACATGAACTTTGTGAGAATAAAAAGCTTCCCAAAACAATAAAAAAACAGCAGTCCACATCAGAAACAGCAGTGAGTACACATTTAATGTCCTTATATGTGCAAACGAACATGAGGTGTTCAAATGGATGTTATTGTGGTTACACTTTATTTTAAGGTGTTCTTGCTACAGTGTAATTATATATTTAAGCACTGAGTAATATTAATTAACTGCATGTACTTACTATAGGGTTAGGGTTAGTTTAGGGTTTGTCTTAGGGTTACTTGCATGTAACTCTGCATATTCAGCATATTATTTAGACATTCTTAGGTATCTAAGAGCATGAATGAAAGTTTTTTTTTTTATTCCTCACCTATAATTCTTTAACTAAAATTCAAAGTAGAATGTATCAGTTTTCATTCAGTTTCTGGCTTTTTTGCACTATTTTAGCTATTACAACTACAGAAGCTGCATCCACTGCCAAAAATCATACTTGAATACAGACAGATTCACAAAAACAAGACTGCATTTGTGGATGGCATTTTGTCTTGCATGAGCAAGGTGAGACATTTGACATACAGAATTTTAGAAATCAAATCATGCACACTAGGTGGCAGTACAAGAGTGTCACATTTGAGTCATTATTTTGACAATGTTTCTGTTCTTTTTCTTGTGAAACATTCAATTAGGGTTCATAACTGTATTTTTAATACAGTAAAAAAAAATGTTTTTTAACCTCTGTTGATTTCGAATGCTCTTTAAATGACTTAAGCTGACAGAATTAACAGATGATCGTTGTTTAGTAAATTTTGTGCTTTTTGTTTTCTCTGTTTCTCTACTTCTCAGACGTTCGTTTCTTCCACATGGAATCAGACAAATACAGTGAGCGGCAGACTGTCTGCTAAACATCCTGTGAGTACTTCTAATTTGCCCTTTCAACTCTCAGTCACATGCCTGTTTACTATTGATCTGTCCTCCCTTTTCTCTCCTTCACTTTTCTAGGTATTTTGTCATGCTCTGTTTCTCTTTCAGACACATGCACACACTCCCACAATTTTTTATGAAAAAAAAGCCCCTCTGAGACTGGGATACAACTATTTGCTGCCCCATTATGTTGTACCATTCCTCCTCTCTTGCTCTCTCTAGTGTTGTGACAAATCGATAGATCATCTCTAGGTCTCTCAGGGTCCAGCATTCACTTGCTGTACGATTTACACTGTTGCAACACTACACTCACACAGAGAACACTGTCCTCTAATATCTCCTTCCTTCAGATACATTTTTAATCCATCATTCTAGTCATTCTTTCTTTAAAATAATTGAGCATGTCATTATTTGGGGCTCTAAGACATCCCTCACACCTCACACTTGTCACATACATTTATGAATGATCCGTGTCTCCTTCATACTGAATTCAGTTAAGTCATCTCTGGTGGTTTGTCCATTTGAGTATTGTAACTGTAACCACTGCATTAAAAATGTATTTCCACTGATGAGCTAGCATATAAATGAGCTTCATTAGCTGCTAGGACTAATTGAGAAAAATCATTGGCCATTAATTGCAGCCTAGGGATAGATCATCCTGAGAGTTCAAATGATGCAGAATCATACTGAATAACTGTGAAATTAAAGCTGAAATTCACCTGCAATTCCCTGTTTGGCTTAACTTTTTAATACTTCTGTTTCTCTGTGTTCCAGTGGGTGAGTTTAGTTTTTTCACTGTCATCAAACCAGCAGGCATGCCCCTACAATTTTGCCTTTCGTACTGTACTTTACTTCTTTCCCTTCTCTTACTCTTTTAAAATCCTTCATGAGCAAGACTAAGCCAGAAGCTTTCAGGCAATCTGGATTTAAGAAGGATTAGATTCAGTTCTTCATAGCTGATTTTTGTGCTATATTCTGTGTATTTTGTGAGCCCTTCAGATGTTAGTAAGGCTTTGTATGTGTATTTGACGGCTTATGTGTGTACACTGCCGCTCAAAAATTTGTGCGTGGTAAGATTTAAAGAAAAAATAAATGAATACTTTTATTTCGAAACAATGCATTAAATTGATCAAAAGTAAAGACGTATAATGTTACAATAGATTTTGGATTTTCATAAATGCATTTCACATAAATGCTGTTCTTTTGAACTTTCTGTTCATCAAAGAATTTTCAAAAATAAATTTCAACATAGAATAACAATATGAAATGTTTCTTGAGTACCATTTCAACATGTTAGAATAATTTCTGAAGGATCATGAAAACTAGAGTAATGGGGGCTGAAAATCAGCTTTGCTATTACAGGAATAAATATGATTTTTAAATATATTAATACAGAAAACAGTTATTTTAAATTGTAATAATTTTTCACAATGTTACTGTACTGATTTTACTGTATTTTTGATCAAATAAATGCAGTGAAGCTAAGAAACTTTAAAATAAAAATAAAAAATCTTACTGACCTCAAATTTTTGAACGATTGTGTGTGCGTGCGTGTGTGTGTGCGTGTCTGTCTGTGTCTCTGTAGACCTTAGTCAAAGGTAAATGCCATATTTAATTTTTTGATAATGAAACCGAGACTGTTAGGGACAGTCAAAGTTGTGTCCAATCACATACAGTAGGTTGTGTAATTTTAATGGCATGTCTGATTCCCACAATCAGTCAGTGTTTTTTGGATTTTATTTGTCCATTTGGAATTTTTTGGGTGTATTTCCAATGTTTTGTGTAATTTGTGTAATACAGATTCTGTCCCTGCTGTTGGAGAAACTTGAATGCTGTCTCTGCTCTGCTGCAGAGGGGGCGGCTGCCTTGTTTTGATACCTTTCTATAACACACACTCACACCTCTTCCTCACTGTTGCTTTCTTCACTCCCCCTTTGTCTTTGAACATACACACAAATCTGCCTAGACACAAATAAAGCAGGCTGGCAGTTTTCAGCTTTAATACGGGTTTACTTAAGGCAAAGCTTTTGCAGGCTTTAGAGTCATAACCAAAAAATGAGCCGCCTTTGGATCAGAATCCCTCAAGTATTCTTGAACAGAAGACCAGACATCACTTATCCATCCAGAGACACCCTTGACAATAACACCAAAGAACAGTCGAATGAGGACAGATGTCTTTCTCCTCATCTTTATTTCTTTGTCTTCTCGCTGGCTTCATATCAGCTTTTCATATGCTATCCAAAGCCTTCTATCCTGCATTTCACAACTGAGAGCTAATCTCCTTGCATTTGATAAATAATACTTTCAGGAGAAATGGTCCTGCGAATCATGTGATTTTCAGAATAGCTGCATTTTTCATTGTTTATTTCGTCATTGACCTCTCTCAAGGTGTTTTCGAAGTCCAATTAGACAAACTCAAATAAACATGAGAAACAGATTGTCTCCATAATGTAAAGAGTTTCTAGCTTTCATTGGATGAATCATTGCTGTGGTAGGTGTTGCTTCAGAGTGATGCATGGCTTTCCTCTAGTCATTTGAATTTGGCTGCACCAAAGCATCACAGAGCTGTGTATAATAACGCTGCTTCAGGGTGGGTGACTCACTGTTTGTGTGAACTGATTAATTAGATTTTGTTCTGACACAGAGAGCAGGCGGGATTACGTTTGTGTGTTAGAAAAAGAGATCCCATCAGCTGTTCCTCCAGAATGTGTGAGTGTGCATGTGTGATCATATGCACTTGTTGTCGCAGGTCTCAGCAATAAGGATGGCCCGCTGCCCCGTGACCAGTGTGAAACAGTTTCCGGCCAGTTGATTGGCCAGTGCTGTGTTGCAACTGAAAACTGAAACTTTTGAATTAATTGATCTTGTATATCCATTGTTAAATCTTGCAAACTTAAAGGGGTCATATGATGCTTTTTTAAAGATCATTATTTGGTGTATTTGGTGTAACAGAATATGTTGACATGCTTTAATGTTCAAAAAACACATTATTTTTCAAATACTGTACATTATTGTAGGTCCTCTATGCCCCGCCTATCTTAAAGATTCCTAAATGCATCTACTTTCGGAAGGCCAAATAAAGTGCTTTTGCTTTCGCCTAGAAACACACAGCGTCTCCCTGACATGGCTGCTTCAACACTAACTCCGGTTACTGAAACCACGCCTTCTTTCTTTACGTGAACATTTGGGCGGCATTACGCAAACATTTCCACATAGTGAGGTAGATATGTGGGGGCGTGTTAGAACGAGCCGTTTTAGGGGGGTGTGGCAGAGTCTTAACTTTGATAAAGAATGTCTCTTTGGATTTGAGACTTTAGTCTTTGCAACTTCAGGGATCTTATCTATTCACAATCAGCTTGTAACACTCCAAAGAGAAAGGAAAACTTGAAATCGCATCATATGACCCCTTTAAAGGGGTCATAACATGGATTTTTTTTTTACTTTAATATGTTCCTTGAGGTTTACTTATGTTAAAGTTTTTTGCACAAAAAAAAAAAAACGTGCAAAAATCATTCTGAACCTCTCTCAGAAACAGCCTGTTTTTAAGGGGCGTGTCCATTAAGGCTTCTCAGTAATCGGCCACTGTTATGATTGGCTAATGTCATTGCATATGAAACCGTATCAACGCCCCCTCGCTATTGCATGTTTTGAGTGTTGAGTGACAACATGATCAAAATAAAATGGTCATTTCCAGACAAAGCAAAATGAAAAGCATTTACTTACGGTTGATGCAACTGCAGATCTAGTACCGTTTCATCTTCAACAAATGTTTCCTTGTGAACACTCCATGGCACTGTGTCTCGTTTACAAAAAAAATAAAAATACTCTGAAGTCCAAACAATCCTCTGACATAATCCAGGACGCCATTAAAAATAAACTATCCACTTGTTTCTTACGCTGGGATCCTTCTGATATCTGTACAAAGACGCGAATGAACTGTTTAAACCAAATGCATCAAAGCGAACATTCTTTCATTCTTTCATGTGTCCTGACAACAGACTCGACCGCGTGGACTGCGTCAGAAAGCGAACGCGCATCTGTATACTGTATCCTGTGTAGACAAGATAGCGGCAGTGATTGTAATTTCTATTTGCGACACTCGCATTCAGCGTGATCAAGTGTCAAGCCATTAATGGCAGTGGGCGGGGCCTATGACAGTGTTTTGCTCTGGAGGGAGTGTTTATGCAAACGATTGTGCCCAGCTGACGTCACCTTGTCCCATAGGATCTAAAATGAGCCGTTTTCTGAGGGTTATTACATTAAATGCTTTTTTTATTGATGATGAGGACATTTTAAGGTGTGCAACATACAAAGACCTCTTTTATATAAAAAGATCGAGGGAAATTTGGTTTCTCATGTCATGACCCCTTTAAATGTTTGGTTTTCTGCTGGATAGTCTTGAAAGCCTCTAAGAATATGTTGAGGACAACAAACCAATAATTAATTTTAGTTAAAGGTGCAATAGGTGATTGTCTTCAGAACATTTTTTTGTTATGCTGGTTGAAAGTCTCTTCACATCCCGATAGCAATCATCAAGTTAAGTGGTCTAAATGTATTTGTCTGTATTTATATATTCTGTGGAAGGTGTAGGATCAAGAAATGTTCGTCCAATCAATGCTCGGTCTGAGCATTTTAATATGCTTTCCTACCTGCCTGTCAACATATGTATTAGCATACCTCTGCGCACCGGGTTCGCGCAGAAAGGATAGGTCATCAGCGCGTTCACGCACGCTGTGCAGACAGAGCGAGAATGGCAGACAAACATCATCAACCCGATCTTCCTTCCTGGTATTGTAGTACTTTTAAAGTTTTCTCACCGATGAATTACACATGATGTAGCCCAGCGGTTAATCCAGTCCTCGCGCCAGCTCGTTAGAAGTGAGCTACGTGCATGAACTGTGTTCCGATCGATATGATCCCTACACAGTGTTCATTGCTCCCTACTCCCTGAGTGGGGGAAATCCGTTTAAGTTTACTTCACTTCGGAA